GGGGGGGGGGGGGGGGGGGGGGGGGGGGGGGGGGGGGGGGGGGGGCGGGGCGGGGTGAGGCAAGGCAAGGCGAGGTGCGGCGAGGTGAGGCACATACCATTCAGCACTCTGTAACTCGAAATAGTAAACACCCAACTATAATAGCAAGGATGGTAACTGCACCGGGCCGCCACTACCTTTAGGTCAGAATGATAACTTCACAGAGATACCCAATGCCAAAGGGCCAAAGGCCTGAAGGTGCTAAAGCTTCACTGAATCAGATTAGTACACAAAACAGCAAAAAAGTGGTAAATTGCCCCCAGATCTATGCCATTTAACAAAGGCAATGGAGCTTTGGCTACTATTACTGATACCCACAAGTCAACTTAAGCTGGGGTTCCATTACCTTACTGATATCTTGGACTGGCAAAGCAAAGGAGATAGCTTTGCAACTACCTATCAGACTCCGCCTGATCGTGAAGGTGAAAAAGTTGCCATCTCTGGCGATCGGTCGTCCCACGCGTTTGATCAACTTTGATGACTATTGTCGAGAAGTACCAAATTATATGATCACTCTGTTTCTTGACTGTTCAATTATTAGCACTACCGGTAGCTCCTTCAACTTCTTGACTACATGCTGGTCTCCTGGTGACTCCTGATTAAACCACAAGTACACGGCCCCAGCCTTGCAGAAAGTTTTTGTCGCCACAAGCAAAACTTGAGGGGCCGTGCAGCTTGGGGCGCCATTGAGAAAAAAAAATTGGCAGCCTCTGAAGTGGTGTGGGTTTCATGCTGACACCCACGGGACGATGTGTGGTGTGTACTGGTGCTTTAACAGTCAGCAACTACTCATGCTCAGCATGCTGAACCATGTTGTTACCAGTCTCACCCCAGTTAACCCGTTGCCAGTGGCCTCACCCCAATTATGCCTGCTGTGACAAGTCTCACCCCAATTATGCCCACACCGAACTTGACAGCCCGGTTAAACACAGACAGATGACAATAGTGAGACTGTCTTACACACACATTGTCCAAGTCATGATGTCCCATGGAGGTTCAGATGGATCAAGCCCAGAAACTGGTTTATGTACCAGGTGTACACCAACTGGCATGGTTTGGGCCAGGGCCCAGAGATCATCACAGAGGTGGTGGTTTCAAGGCCCACTAAGGATACTGTATCTATGCCCGCGAACAACATTCGAGTTCCCTCGTTCCGTAAACTGAGCAGAACAGATTCCGGGCCTGTGACTGACCTGAAGCCAGTGAAGGGTTCACCTGGACGAGGGTAAACCATGGCAACCGCGGACCCGGACCCAGACATGTCTGGACCGAGGCCCAGACATTTGTCTGGACTGGTCCAGACGTCTGGTAATCCAGACAGGCACCGGACAACCAGACAGGACCGGACCCGGACAGTCCAGACCGGTACACCTGCAGTAACCCGCACTCTGCAGAGGCCGGGCCGTGTGACCACGCACTGCCCGGCCCAGCCCAGCGTCTGGCCAGTGACACCCAGCGCTGGACTGGGGAAATTCAAAGGTCAAAGTCAACTGTCGGGTCGCAGGTACYGTACCCAAGTCCACGAACAGATACACACGTGTTGTAAGCAGGTACCAGGCCAAGACATCGGACCAAGGGAGAAACAGTTGCAGAMCGATCCAGGCCGTCGCCGCATCAAGATCTTGACGGCACAGGACCACTGCAGCGGGGCATTGACCCCGAGTCAACACTACTTAAAGTTGACTCCTGSCTTTGGCATCATTCATTCTGTCGCGAGTCAAGGCTGACTCTACTTTGACGCGAYGCTGGCTTATGAGGTGCTGGCTAATTGCTAGCTGGACGTTGGCGTTTCTCAGCGRCGACACGCTGCTTGCTTGCTGGCATGGGGGCTGGCTTGCTCTTGTCTACAAGGTGCTGACGTGGCAGCGCCACGTGTCGTTGCTGACGTGGCTGCTGCCACGTAGGGTGTTGGTGACGTGGTTGTACCACGTGTTCATTCGTTGTTCAGGCTATTGTCGTCCGGAAGGAGGTCAGGGACTCTGGGGTTGAGATGACACGTACCTGCTTATTGAGATGACATTGCTGCTCCGTTGATGAAGAGAATGCTGACGTGCTACGTGGCACCTTSAGGAACTCAGATCTGTATCTGGATTGACGCTGCTGGAGAGGGGGCGACTCTGATTGGCCCRAAGGAGAAGTGGGCAACTTCYCTTCTAAGTCTTTTCTTCCCCCCTCTCTCTCTCTCGTCTATGCATGTATATACTCGGATAGTGGAACTGATCTGTTCGACATTATTCATCAACAAGACTGGATTACTCGAGTTGCTTTGTCATTGAGCCATTGGACTATTGCTGCACGAGCGCTGATGCTCGTGCGTTGCTGCGAACAGTATCTGGATGTTCAATGAGTGTTATCTCGCCTGGGTTCATTGCAGTTTGGTATCGGAGCAGTACTTCCGAAAATCGCGCGCGCACGTGCGCGCTCTGAAGTAGAATATCATGTCGACGTTGGTGATTGCGTCGGTCGGATCTTGATGACGACTTGGTAGAAGGTCACGAACACGATCGCAATCACGAACGTGATCACGAAAGACAAGATCACGAACGTGATCTTGACGCTGAAGAAGAACATCGTGACGAAGTATCACGACGATGATCAAGATCACAACGACGACGAGGGTCATCACGACGACGATCAAGATCACGAATGTGATCACGACCTTGACGAAGATCATCACGACGACGATCCGAATGTGATCACGACCTTGACGAAGATCATCACGACGACGAAGAGGATATGACGACGAAGTTCCATCGGGCCGCGCTTGAGTTGATTGTCGCGCGTGCTCGATCAAAACCCGGATGCGCGCTGATGACGTGGCGGGAAAAATAGTGGGGGAGAGAGAATGCTGAAACGCGATTTCAACGCATTCGTCTAGAGAAGAAGCACTCTCCTCCCTTGAAGACTGCGCGCGCCGGTGAGAAGAAGATAATGATGATGATGCTTTGAAGACAAAGACGATCTTGCTGACGTAGCAGAGTTGTATCACATTGGCGAGACCTTGAGCAGGGACCTTGATTGCTGACGTGGCAGGGGGGATACTGACTTGTTGTTGTTTCCCTGCTGACGCGGCTTGATTGAAGTCGTATCTGGGGGCCAGATTGGCTGACGTGGGACCCCCCTCTTGATTGATTGATCACTTGGTGCTGACGTGGCAAGTGTTGTGTGCTTGCTGAGTTGGCATTACCAGGGTGTTACGTGATTGGCACGTGTGTGCCTGGGTGGGAGGATCATTCTGACGACAGAGGCGGTACAGCTAATTGAATAGCTGTAGTGCCAGTTGTCGCAACAGGGTGATTGTTGCTTTGATCAGGACTGACGCAGGGGATTATTGATGCTGACATATTGATTGTTGTTGATGTTGGCTTGTTTTCCCTGTGTCGTTTGTTTGTCCTGTGCTGGCATACTCACCTGTGTGCATCTGGTCACTGTGTCCGGATCGGTACCTGCAAAAACACGTCATCACGTTGAGTTAGATAAATAAGAACAACGAAGAAAAAGAAAAAGAAAAAATATAATCCACAGTTATTTTGCTGTCATTACTCTTGTTGTAATCTGCTGTGTGGAATCTGTGAGGCCACGGAATTAATTATTGTTTATTTTCTGTTTATTGTGCGGTAGATTCTCCACACCGAAATGTCTCAGGAAGAGACTGTTCAGACCCCAGTTGAGGGCCAGAGTGTTGAGCAGCTCCCTGACCCTCGTACCAGGGCTCAAGTTGAGCAGAGACGACAACTGTTGTCTGGACGGCTCAACCTTCTGGCCACCGAACTGCACGATGCCGGTGCAGAGGCTGAGTCACATGTGAGGGCCCAGTTTGATCTGCGGAAAGCCAAGGCAGACCTGGATGCAGCTCAGACTGGCACCGACCTATTGAAGATACAGGAGTTCATTATCCAGTGTCGTAAAGCACTGGATGCGCACATCTGTCAGCAGTTCGAAGACATAGCAAATGGCAGAAATGCCAAAACTGATGTGGTGGTCACAGAACAGACAATTGATGAGAACATCCGCCAATTGGAAGAAGCTCTTGAAAAAGAGAAAACACGCAAGGCGGAAATACTAAAGAAGAAAGAACAAGATGAACAGCAAGCAAAACGAGAACAAGAAGTCAGACAGCATGTGGTAACTGTGTCAGGGGAAGAACAGGTTGTGGCACTGAATCAACTGGTTGAGTACCTTGCTCACTTGGAGACAAGGCTCGACCATTTTGAAGCAAAGTTGGAAGAATTGACTGTAGGATTGAAGAATGTGACTAACTTGGTCAAAGGAAAGGAAAAAGAGGTCCGGAAGGAACAACCTGTGAAGAAACTAATGGGTGATGCTATGAAAGATCTCAGGGTCGGAGTAAAGAAGGGGGAACCATCTGGGCCTCCTCCACCGATGCCACCACCATCCAGTCCTCACCCATCTGGAGGAAAGAAAGATAAAGAAGAGAAAACTGAGAAGCCAAAGAAGAAGGAAAAGGTAAAGATGAAATTGCCTTTCATGTTCAGTAATAAGAAGGATGAAAACTTATTACTGTGGATTGCAGAAATACAGACCTACGTCGGGACGACCCTCGTGGAAGAAGAATCACAGGTCGCCTTCTCCACGTCGTGTCTTGGAGGGGAGGCCAAAGAGTGGGTCCTGGCCGAAGCTAACGCAACCGGATTCGATGATATTGGTAAGTGGGCCGGTACGATGACCCTGAAACAGTTCCTGGACAAGATCCGGGAACGTTTCCTTGACAAGACAACGACCGATAAGGCCTTCGATCAGCTCACTACCATAGGTCAGAAACATTGGACGTCTGTGGAGGCGTTGTCCTGTGAGGTCGATCGATTGCTGCAAGTACCGGGCTTAAATCTGCAGGATGATCAAGTCCTGCATATTTATGTCCGAGCCCTACCTGAACCTATACGAGGTCAGTTAGTGGCCGAGTCAAAGTCAGGTAAGTACAAGTATCGGCAGTTTCGTGATTTGGCTCTCCAGAGAGAGCAAATGACCTCTCAGGTTAAACAGTCATATGCATCTGTGGTGAAATCTGGTGGTGCAGGTGCAGGTGCGAGATACGGTAAGCGAGTCCTTTGGCGTCAAAAGCGTCAGGACCACATGCTTGTCATCTTTGACGACGACACAGTGGAAAGCTACCGTTAGAAGAAGAAGGAGTTCCCAACAACAGTGAGTCCGGAAAGGGGGACGTCACTGCTGCCCTGGTCAACAAAGGAGGACCACGAGGTCCGTATCGAGGGAGGAAACCACGCTCATTTCCTGCGCACCCAGGCATCGCGGCATTCAAGCCGTGGGAAAAGATGGAGATTGACCAAAAGACCTGGCAGGATAGGATGGACAATGCGCAGTGTTTAAAGTGTGGAAAGGAGGGGCACATTATTGCATGGTGTCCACTCATCCGACACCCARAAGCGAGCYGCCAGTAGGAGTAGCATCTGSTCCTACTGAGTTGAAGAAGTCAGACGATGAGAAAGGTAAGGCGCCTACTAACCCTTTCACTTCTTCGACTCGCGTGGCAGAGGATGGATGTCCTCCGACCATCATCCAGATCACCCTGAACCTGTCTTATGTTCTGTCTCTCTAGATGACTCCTTTGATGAGCTTGGTAATGAGTTGCTAGCACTACGAAGCTCATGGGCAAAGAAAGCAAAGTCTAAGGGTGAACTATTACTCGCAGATGTAGAGATCGCACACGAACGGACGGGTGCACTTTTAGACTCAGGATCTACACGATCCTACATTTTTGAGAGAGCTATTCGCAAGCGTCATCTTGGAATGAAGGTAAAATGTTTAGCACGACCTATCACGTCTATTCTTGTTGATAAAAGCACGATCACTGTCTCTCATTATGTCGATCGTGTGAAATGTAAGTTCAAAACTAAAACTGGAAAGAAGATTGTGCACAAAATCTCCTTCCTAATTGAGAAGAACTTGCCTTTTTATATGATTCTGGGAATGGATTGGCACGAGGAAGCCAACCCAGAAATCAAGTTCAAGGAAAAGGAAGTACGCCTGAAAAACGCACAATCTGAACTCGAGACCATCAAACTGTATCACAAGTCTGGATCTGACTCTACTCTGTCTTTCTGTTGTATGAGCTATCCAGCTTTTCGATCGATGGTCAGGAAGAAGCAATTGGATCAGGAGGTAATGATGGTGTTGGTAAAGGAAGTTGGTGAGTCTTCGACACCTTATCCTCCATCGATACAAAAACTCTTAGATGAGTATAAAGATCTATCTCAGGAACCTACTGGGATCACTGAGCGTGCTATCAAGCACACTATCGAGATCATTCCTGGAAGTATGACTCCCAAGGGCCCTATCTATCGAATGTCGCCTAGGGAACTTGAGGAATTGCGCAAGCAACTTCAGGAATTAACTAACAAAGGATGGATTCGCCCTAGTTCTTCACCTCATGGAGCGCCTGTATTATTTGTGCCCAAAAAGGAAGGTGAGTTGCGTCTATGCATTGACTATAGAGGGTTGAACTCCGTCACTGTGAAAAACGATGAACCCCTACCACGAATTGACGACTTGTTGGATCAGCTGCAAAGATGCAAGTACTTCAACAAGATTGATCTGAAGTCGGGATACCACCAAATCGAGGTGGCGCCCGAAGATCAACACAAGACTGCTTTTCGAACCAAGTATGGACACAACGAGTTTGTGGTCATGCCCTTCGGATTGACGAATGCCCCTGCGACCTTCCAAAGGTCTATGAACGAATTGTTTCGACAGTGGTTGGATCAGTTTGTAATTGTGTATCTCGATGACATCCTAGTCTACAGCAAAACGCTGGAGAATCACGAGAAACACTTGCGTCTCGTCTTGGGTAAGCTACGAGAAGGTAATTTTAAACTTAACCTAAAGAAGTCAGAATTTGCAAAACCTGAAGTGCTCTACTTAGGGCATATAGTTAACGAAGAAGGACTCAGACCGGAAGCGAAGAAAATTTCAGCGATTAGAGATTGGCCACAACCAAAGTCCATCACTGAGTTGAGGTCTTTCCTTGGGTTAGCCAGTTACTATAGGAAGTTTGTTAGAAACTTCTCCTTAGTTGCTGCTCCCATGAGAAGACTCCTGAAGAAAGGAACCATATGGTTGTGGGACAAGGACTGTGAGTCATCAATGAAGAAGTTAAAATATGCACTGACTCACTACCCTGTTCTGAAAATCGTTGATCCATCTCTTCCCTTTATTGTGACAACTGACGCAAGTCAGTATGGAATTGGCGCAGTCCTACAGCAGGATGATGGTAAGGGGTACAGACCTATTGAGTTCACGTCTGCCAGACTTCCTACTCAGAAGGTCGCCGACTCCACTTACGAAAGGGAATTGTATGCGCTTGTCTGTGCACTGAAATCCTGGAAACACTACTTGTTAGGGAGGCACTTCACGGTCTACTCAGATCACTCGACACTGAAGTGGATAAAGACTCAACCAAGACTCTCTGACAAACTAGTACGATGGTCTGCTTTCCTCGACACCTTTGACTTTGAGTTGAAGACAATCAAAGGTAAGTCTAACGTTGTGGCAGATGCATTGTCTAGGAGAAGTGATTTCTTTGGAACCATTGTCTCCTACTTGGATATAGGAAATGATGTGCAGGAACAGATTCGACAAGGCTATGCTAATGATCCTATCTGGAAACCCATCATTGACCTTGTCACTAAGGATCCTGCCCTGTTACCCAAGTATAAGATGCCAAATGGATTGCTTTTCTTGATAAACGAAACTGAACAACGGTTGTGTATTCCTCACAAAAAAGAGATTAAAAGTCTGCTGATTGGGGAATGCCATGACTTTGAGAACATTTTGGTTTCAAGAAAACTTATTCAGAAGTAAGAGAACGCTTCGATTGGAAAGGACTAAAGGAAGATGTACTAACGTATGTGCGTACTTGTCTGGTATGTCAGAGAAACAAACCACCACATGAGAACCCTCTGGGTCTACTAAGGCCCTTACCGATTCCCAGTGAACCAGGTGAGTCTATCTCTATGGACTTCATGAGTCTCGTCAAGAGTCGAAATGGTAACAGTCAAGTGATGGTTGTAGTCGATCGTTTCTCTAAGTATGCAATGTTTATTCCTTTGCCTGCTGAAGCGAAAACTGAGCTTGTGATCCAGAAGTTCAGATGCGATGGGTAACTGAGTATGGGTTCCCATTGTCTATTGTATCTGACAGGGATGTGAGGTTCACAAGTATGCCATGGCAAAAGCTGATGGAGGCATACGGCACTCGTTTGACCATGTCGTTAGGACGCCATCCTGAAACGAATGGGCAAAGCGAGCAAATGAACCGCTTGTGCCAACAACTCTTGCGCATGTATGTCAGGCCCGATCAGATTGATTGGGACGAGAACTTACCAAAAATAGCTAGTGCATACAACAGCAGCGTCCACACTGCAACTGGACGTACTCCTAACGCACTACATAAAGGATGGAAGCCGCGACGTCCCATTGATGTATTAACCAGGGACCAATTTTTACGGCTACCGCCAGGAACCCGTGAATATGCAGTTATGTTCCAAGAAGACATCCAGAAAGTTGAGGAGAATCTAAAGAAAGCACAAGAACAGATGATTAACCAGGCCAACAAACATCGAAGACCTGCTAACTTTCAAGTAGGTGACATGGTTTGGGTAAAGTCTAATGAGTTCTCCTTGGAATAAGATGTTTCACAGAAATTGCTGCCTGTCTACTTTGGGCCCTGGGAAGTTCTCAAAGTAATTGGAGATGCAGAGGGACCGTCCTACAGAATTGATATTCCCCCGCATCTCAAAACCTACCGTGTATTCCATGCCTCTAAGTTGCTACCGTATGTGGAGG